GCCGCCGGGTCACCATCCTATCCTGCCGGGTAAAAATAAAAAAATGCAGTTTACATTCTGATAGAAGTGAAGATATCATACCTATGTGTAGTTCTGCAGAAAAGAAGAGCTTATAGTCTAGTTTTACTTGGGTCGAGGGGTTTGTTTGGCGTTTTAGTGTTGATTATTTGTGCAAACAAATAACTTTCTGCTTTCGGTTGTGAGCAGTTTGTGATAACATGGCTCCAACGATTCAGACACAAGCTCAACGGGAGGACGGCCACAGGTAAGTTAACACATGCTGAGTTATTTTAACCCACCCGGTTTGTGTACATTGGACCGTGTATGTGAAGGGTAATGTTGTGGAGTTAATGTTAAACCAGCTGACTCATTTAGATTGTCCGCTTGTCATTTGTGTACAATGGTAGCTAACAATGCTAAGTATGCTACACAAACAAGCAAGCTTAATGTCAAACCTCCTCTTTAAGGTAACTTGGCGTGCTAATCTTATTGTTGTTGTTTGTGTTAATTAACTAGTTAACGTGGATAGGTAAATCAAATAAGTAGTAACTTTAAGTAGATGCTATTATTGTGCTAAACGTTGTGAGAGCTAGCCAAGGTTAGCCAGTCTAGATGCTAACAGGAACGTATTTAAGTTATTATAACAGAGTTGCATTAGATTGCATTAGATTGTACAGTACAGGCAAAACTCTATGTATTGTATAGCAAAAATCCTGTAGCGAATGAAATAACATTTTTAACCACTTCTACAATGCATTTAAGACGAGAATGAGATTGTTAAATGTATTTAAAGTCTTGATAAGATGTGCTTAGGCGATAGCTTTAGAGACTTCTCCCTCAGTTTTAAGGTTAAATTGGATGCAGAACATTTATGCAAGGGGTATAGAGATGTGTGTGTCAGAGGTCTTCAAACTGGAGAAAAAGGCGGGTTTCTCAGTGATTCTCTGTGCAAAAGATATAAACAAGATCTATCTATGAATCCAATCATAATATAATACAAGGTTAAAGAGAGCACTGAATAACACAGTGGTACATTATTAATAACTTGTCATTTAAACATTTATGCCACGCTGAAGTATTTGTTTATGAGAGATGGTAACAAGTCTAACAGATGTCTGTTTTCTCTTTAAGTAGGCAGTCCTCTCACAGAACTGTCCCAGAGAGGTAAGTAGATTTAACCCTATTGCCTTTTTTTTTTTTTTTTTTTTTTTTAAAGCAGTGCCAGGGTTTACAAAAGTGTAGGCTAACCCAAACTGTGTTTCCCGTACTTTTGTGCACCTGGCAGGTCAGGCGTGGTCTGTCGAGTGAAGTACTGCAACAGCCTGCCTGACATCCCTTTTGACCCCAAATTCATCACATATCCATTTGACCAGCACAGGTAAACATCACACTTCTCCATCCATGAAGTACACATTGTTGAAGATGGACACAGCTTGACATTTGTGTTTCTGTTTTGGTAGATTTGTACAGTACAAAGCCACCTCTCTAGAGAAGCAGCACAAGCATGAGCTCCTGACTGAGCCAGACCTGGGGGTCACCATTGATCTCATCAACCCAGACACTTACCGCATAGACCCCAATAGTAAGTGTCCAGTTGTTGTCACATATTTTTTTCAGTGACTGTCTTGCTTTTCATGAAATGTGTGTTAAGACTGAACCAATCTTTTAAATTGATAGTATTGTTGGATCCTGCTGATGAGAAACTGTTGGAAGAGGACATCCAGGCACCATCCAGCTCGAAGAGGTAAGGCTGCTATATAGGCAGTTTCATGTTGTTGTAGATTCATGTGGAGATTTTTTGTTCAAATGTTTTCTTCTTCCCTATAAGGTCACAGCAGCATGCCAAAGTGGTCCCGTGGATGAGGAAGACAGAATATATTTCTACAGAGTTTAACAGATATGGTGTTTCCAATGAGAAAGTGGAAGTCAAGTAAGTTGCGTAATCCTGAAATTACTTATAGAAAGGTGTATGAGTTTGTGTGCATGTGTATAACCTAGACGTGTTTTGTGTTTAGGATCGGTGTATCTGTCAAACAGCAGTTTACAGAAGAAGAAATCTACAAGGACAGAGACAGCCAGATTTCTGCAATTGAGAAGACATTTGAGGATGCACAGAAATCGGTGAGTGAGCATATAACTAGGCTGCTCAACCCTTTAGTATCCTTTTATGTTTCATGCGAGTAAAAAAAAACCCAATAGTTTAAACACGTCCATTTGAAATATTATAGGTTTGCAACTCCAGTTTTGGAGACACATTGTGGAGCTGCTCAGTGCAGTAGAAGACTGTAATGGTCAGGTGTCAGATGCAAATCAGCACATTAACCTAAAATGCAAAGGTGTTCTTGGTCAACGTGCATGGTTGGGTAATTGAGAAAAGGGGCTATGGTTTGTAAGCATGTTGTTTCTTTCCAGATTACACAGCACTACAGTAAACCCAGAGTTACTCCTGTGGAGGTACTACCGGTGTTCCCTGACTTCAAGGTGAGCTATAATTTCACTCAGTAAAATTTACATACATCAATTTAAAAAAAAAAGTTACTTGTTTGTGTGCTTGTACTTCAGGTAGTAATAATTTGTACACTTTCTCTTTCTCCCAGATGTGGATCAACCCATGTGCTCAAGTCATCTTTGACTCTGATCCTGCACCTAAAGACATATCAGGACCAGCTGGAGTGGAAATGATGTCTCAGGCCATGATCAGGTATCATCAAAATATCTGTTGTGCGGATGTGCAATTCAACAGTTGTATTATTACATAAATACTAATTCATGTTTTGTTTCTCTTCAATACAGAGGTATGATGGATGAGGAAGGAAATCAGTTTGTGGCCTACTTCTTACCCCACGAAGAAACACTTCGCAAGCGCAAGAGAGATTGCGATGAAGGGATGGACTATATGCCTGAGGATCTGTAAGTAAAAATATATTGCAGCCAGAAAATCATCATGTTACTTTGCTCATTTTATGGTGTATACCAGAAAGCAACAATGCCCTTTATTTCCTATGTTTCAGGTATGATTACAAGATAGCCAGGGAGTACAACTGGAATGTCAAGAACAAAGCCAGCAAGGGTTACGAGGAGAACTACTTCTTTATCTTCAGAGATGGAGATGGTGTTTACTACAATGAACTCGAGACAAGGTGAGTCATCGATCGGAGAAGAAGCTCGTTTGTTTTTTCACCTCAACTTGAAGAAATGTGCATTTTTACAGAAATAATTGCAGCTGGTGTGTTTAGTTCATGAGCATGAGTGTAGATTGTTGTGCTTTAGAAAGTTCGGTGTCAATTGATGATGCACAAAACACACAGGTCCACCACCATGATATAAGGGGCATTCACAGGAAACTGTTAGGCCTGGTCCACTGACTGTCTTTCCTCTGTCTTGCAGGGTGCGTCTGAGCAAGAGGAGAGCCAAGGCTGGAGCACAGTCGACCACAAACGCTGTGCTGGTGTGTAAGCACAGAGATATGAACGAGAAGGAACTCGAAGCCCAGGTGAGTGTACTTTACAGGTATTTGTACCTGTAAAGTAAGTAGAAGTAGTTGGAAGTAGAACTTTTGAATTAAGTTTAGTGACTAAATTATTTTCTTAAATTCGGTAGGTTATTCTATCAAACCTACAGCAGTGCTTTCCAACATGACTCAACTAATCTAAACCAATAACTGGAGCTCCTCTAACTTTATCTATAAGCTTGGATTCTTGGACAGTAGGCTGTGTACTAATTCCTTTTCATTGTGGTTCTCAGGAAGCACGTAAAGCTCAGCTGGAGAACCATGAACCAGAAGATGAGGAGGAAGACATTGACAAGGACATACCAGACTCTGGTCAGTTTTCTTGTATTCTACTTCCTGCACTGTAGCAGTAGCATGTCTGATAAATCAGTCACTGCCTGCACTGAGGACAGGTTTTTCTCAATTTCTGTTTCTCTCTGTGATGTTTGAATTGTTTTCTCCAGGTGATGAGAAAGAGAAGGGCAGCGGCAGTGAGGCAGAGAACTCTGGCAGCGAATCCGAGAGGGAAGACGAAGACCGGGAACAAAGGGCAGAAGAAATTGAGGAAGAGGATGAGGACAAAGAAAAGAGGAGTAGGAAGCTGAGCGGTAGCGGAAGTGAGAGCGGCGAGGAGAGGACCAGAGAAATGCGAGATGAGGAAGAGATCTTCGGCAGTGACGATGACAGCGAAGACAACGAGCCCAAGAACTCAGCCAGGAGCAGTGGGGAGGAGGGCAGCGGAAGCGAGGACGAAGGAGGGAACAGAGGAGGCAGCAGGAGTCGCAGTGCCTCTCCAGCGCGCAGCGACCGCAGCAGCGACCACTCGGAGAGGGCTCAGAGTGGAAGTGGAAGCGAGAGAGGCTCAGACTCCAGTGATGCCAGTGACAGTGAATGAGATCTGTGGTCCGGACAGCAAGGTGATGGCCACCTATCTTATCTCTATGTTCAGCCCCAAACATGACAGTGCCACCCTGTCACTGACCCTGATATTAGCTCAGTCTGGGGCTGTAGTTTCTTCATGATTGCAAATATCAAATTAAATTGTGTGTGCAAGAATGCTAATTGGTTTTGGACCAGGGACATCTCTCTTCAATTCAGTTTTTATTTGTAGATTTAACTTGCGCACCAGTAGCTATTTGTACACCATTTCTATGTTGTTTTTGTCTGTCAAAAATATTCAGGATCATGTAAAAATCATGTTCTTCTCTTAGCTTTTGACATGTCATTGAGTTACAGCTTTGAAGCGCATAATAAAATGCAGGTGACATTTTGTAAGAAACTCAGTGGTCAAAGGTTGTTGTTTTTCCCTCTTTAACGGATTTAGGGAACCTCTAAGTAAACCCATAAATGTAACAGCTTATGTTACAATCTGCCCAAGAAGTACAGGACTGTCTGTGCTCCATTTAAAAGTGATTAAACATTTGTTTAGTTGATGCTCAGTTCACACTTTTGTTGGAAAAAATGTGTAAAATTATTGATTTCCATGCAAAACTGACAAATCCAAACTTGATTTCGTATTGTAAATCATTTAATAGCACAAGTAACATGCACAACAAGTGAAGATTTAAAGAAAAAGGCTGATAGTATTGGAGATATGGGAGATGCATATTCAGCGAAAAAAGGCCAGCTGGTTCTTCAGCCATTCCTCTGTCAAGTCATCAGCATTTCTTGTTTCAAAGACCTCACAGAGTAAAGCATAGTGTCACGTTCAAGAAGAATAGAACAGTTACCATTAAAGGTGCATCTTCTAAACTAAAATTAATATACATGTTTAGAAAGAAGTTTATTTTTTTATTACATTAAATACTTATTTTATTATTCTTCAGTATACATGGAGGTATGATAAACTGTAGGTCATAATTATGAGATAATTACCTTTGTGAGTTCTGCAGCTTGGACCAGTTGATTCTTACTGCCTGCATACATCATCTGCTGCTCTGGCTTACATCCTGTTAAAATAAAATTGACATTTTTCCAAGTGGTTCTGTGATTTGACCAAACATACCTCAGCCAATCCAGTAAGTGCCACCTTCATTGCTACAATAAATTTTTAATAAAGTGGATTTCAGACGTGAGGAGATAATGGAAAACGATTGCTTTTGATTTAAGATACTATTACTATGGATATTACCATAAAGATTTGATTGAAGAGTACTACTTACCCATTGGACTGGAGAATATGAAACACAGAGGGTAAGACACTCTCCCATCACCATGGACATATTTGTAGCTGTAGACAATGAATGTGCACTACTGTCAAGGAATTTTTACTTTTTTTTTCTCCCAATGTTAAAGCACTTTTCTCATTGCAGCTTTTTTTTTTATATCAATAGATGATCTAATTTTGCTATAGTCATAAGACATTCAATCAGGATATCTGGGTTGCCGCTCTGGAAGTTCATCTCTCAACTCGTCCAGTGAGATGTCCTAAAACACAAAGTTGAGTTTGAGTGACATTTAATGCAGAATGAAAAAAAACCCCTAAAGAATTACAAAATGTCACTTGCCTCATATTCTTCCTCAAGGATGACAAGTTGTTTCACCATGTCTATTTTCACTAAAAAATTAAAATGAATATTTAGGGGTTTTTGGTTGTGTTTGTTGATGCACTGATATTTGTATGGGATTAGAATTTGTGTTAATCAAGTTACAAATGTAAAAATAATAACATCCAACATTAGTATGCAGTACTCACTCAGTATGGCAGCATTGTTGGTCTCTTTTCGGAATCTAAACTTTTTCAGTTTATCTTTCAGACTTTCCTCCACTTCACACACAACCAGAGAGCTCGACTGCAAAATGGCGTTAAAAGAATATCACTCACATTGTGTCAATATAAGAAATATTAAAACATCCCCAGATGCTCCAGTGCTTTTGATAAAGTAGATTGGTCTACGGGCCACAAATGGAAACAAAGTAAGGCAGTAAGAGACATCTGTTCAGGTCTCTATCCACCTTGTATGAATGCATTAAACATTCATAACACTATTCTGACATATTGAGGGCAGGAAATGTTTTTGCTGTAACATGCAAGAATGTAGTTTCCTGTGTGAAAGCGCGCGGGGGATGGTCAACTTGCGTCGCAATGGTAAAGTAAAAAATATATATACACAAAGATGTATGAATGACAGGTCATCAAATCCAGTACATTTTAACAGAATGGCAAAATCTTTCAAACAATTGCATCAGTTTCACCTACCATTCTCAAAGGATCCTTTCCTGTCTTTCTATATTCAGGGTAACACTGTCTTGCTGACAGCTCCTCTCAGACTGTCAAGGTCCTCCTTAAGATGGCAAGGGGAGGGCAGGCTAGAGCATTCAGCAGTTCTGCTTCCTGTTTTTAACAGTACAAAATGACTCTCGCGTGCAAACTCAGCCAAGTGGGGTTTGAAACCAGCTGACCATCTTTGAATGCATTAACAAAAAGATCTGCATTGAAAGCTATGAATCTTGGTAGGCAGAAGAGATTGTGTTTAATTTTAATAGAGCCGTACAGTTTGATGTTGAAGAACACAGTTTTACAATATTTCTATCGCAAGAGCAACTTTCACTTCCCATAACATCAAATAGAAACTTACAGAGCTTAAAAGGTCCTCAGATCTAACAACGCCACAAAAAAGAACAATGCTAAACAAAAAAGTAAAAGTATAGAACTATATGCAATGAGATGTAGGCATCAAAAGTAAAATATCTTAATAAAAATGTTTTCTGTCACAGCACACAATACTAGTGCACCATATTATTAAAGTGGATCAGGTTATGGTGCGCTATTAAAATGTTTGATTGTTACATTTTGGGCCACGCCTGCATGCTTCAGACTGAATCACTGTCGTGCAGGGAAAAGAATTGTTTTGCTCACAGGTTTGATCCCCTGGTAAATGCATTACATACTATTATGTTGCAGCCCTGGCCATACTCCAATCTGTGATGTCACAGCAGGTCCTTTGCCACTTACCTTTGTGTGTGCTGTGTGTTTGCCATTGACAGCTGAAAGCAAACACCTGCTGTGGGAAATGGTTGCGGCCAGATTACATTATGCTTTCAACCCACTCCCAAAGCAACAACAGTTTTCTATTCTATGTTATTTGATGTTGAACAACCTCTGTATGGAAGATCTCAATCTTTATCCTAAATCTTAAAATTCTCTCTTCCATTTATAATGTCAAACTATGATTCCTTTGTTAACTTATTCACTATTCCCTAAATACTCAGCTGTTGTTGGTGCTGAAACAGTCATAATGAAGTACTAGATCATCAAAAATGTAATTGACACAAATGATAAGATAAGATGTACCTTTATTGATCCCCTGTAGGAGAAATTCAAGTCAGACACAGCAGCATAGGAGAATGTAGTGCAAAGAGTACAGAGTGTTAATAACCCATTATCAAGTGGGGTGGCTGTAGCTCAAGTGGTTGCTCATTAATTGTGGAGTGGGTGGTCCAATACCCTTGGCCGTGAGTAAGGCAATAAAGCCAGACATTTAATTCTTCTAGCCTCTCAAATGTGAGGATTATAACAGTGAAAAATAAATATCTAATTTAAAGAAATTCCCCTGGGCTTTGGGAACATTCAATTGAGATTATTTAAGTATTTTCTGACATCATATATATATATTTATTATTACAAAACTAATTAACAAATTATTGTTGTATGGGGAAATAAAGCATTTAGGGGCTGTAGTTGTAACAATATCCAAGATAAAAAGCGTTTCATATATAAAACATACATCATACTAAATACAACTGTGAGACGAGTGCCTTCTGGTTATCATAGTTTGTATTTGTTCCAATATCACCAAGCCCACGGTGTCTACTTTACCTACAAAAACTCCATCTGCTCAGCCTCTCAGGGTGGGAGCCGCTTTATTTACCAGACTGTGGGCGGAACAAAACACCACGTAGCGTCCAGACGTATGACGTCGCACCCACGTCTTACGTCAACTCAAAATCGAAGTAGATTTCTCCTCCAGGCGTACACTCTTTATTTTCTGCATTGCAATAAACATTTTGTACATACATTCTTTACCATGGTATGTTTGAAACCACGGGAGCTTGCCGCTGTAACGGAATATCCTTAAGGAGTACCTCGTATGGGATCGAGAATCTACGCTTCTTTCAGCTAAGCTAACCTTATTGCATCTATTAGCAAAACTTGCTAGCTAAGAAGCTAGCGCTAGCATTCCTGCTAGCAGCCCCTACCCTACCGTCGAGCTAGCTATGCATTAGCACTTTAGCCTAGCTCGCTAACCAGTGACAACTGACAAAGGTAAACAACAAACCTTTTGAGTCTGTTTATTGTAGATAGCAACTCGTATAACTTTGTCTAGTTAACTAGCTACAACCTGCTGTCGATTAAAGCTGCGTTTCAACCTCCCGGTTTGTACCGCGAAGATTGAAGTATACGAAATGAGGAAAAGGGGCAGCAACAGCTTCAGCGAAAAACAATACAAATCCAGAAACCCTCCTCATTAACTAGGCCGACCAAGCTAGAGATGGGTGAGACGAAGCTTTCTGAAGCACTGGATAACTGTGAAGCAATTGTGTTGAAAATGGTTCACTGTTTCCAAGGGTTTTATACCGTCAAAAATGGCGACATCTGCTGGAGAAAGCTGCGGTGTTGCATTTGTTTGGATGGATTAAAGCTTGAGACCACGATGAAACAGTCATAATACGAGTGGTTTTGCTGCGTTAATTCACATTTTGTTCAGTAACGCTTGTATAGTAAGAACTGACCACCTTTAAATAGAGGCTACAGATGGAGATTGACAAGACCACCCCCGTATTCAAAACCAGCGCGACACCTCTCTGATGAGGCCTCGTTTAGGGTTGGTCACGTGATTTTTGGCGTGGTGAAGCCAGCGAAGTATCGATACTTCTGCTTTTAATGTATTTATCGATCTATCTATCTATATAGATAGATATATACTGTCTAGTAAGTCTGCTGTGAGCGTCACATCACTGAACCTGGTGAAATGTTAGCCTGTTCCAGCTTAATAAACCTCGCAGGGATAATCAACAACAACAGTCTGCTGACCAGAGCTTATAGCCAGACACTCATGTTTGTGCTTTGATCAAAATTATAGCTCATAATGTTACAGGTGGTACCGGTTGCAGTGTTGGCAGTTAGTAGTTTTGGCATGTTGCATTACACTGGCTGGTTATTGATTATGTTTCTTCAGTAGCTGATAAGTAGTGTATTATAATAATTAGCCTTTGTAAATACTGGGCACTGATGACAGCTCTTGTTCTTTGAACAGCAGCCTATTTTAGTGTTATGCGTTAAGCATGACTCCCAGTGTTACTGACCTGAGTCTTATCTCGAAAAAAAATGTGTCTGACACACCTTTTGTGAATGACCTGCGCCTTTTATCATTATGATATAACGCAAGCAGCGTGAGCATGCCCCTATGAAGTGATAACGTTTATTAGTAAAAGCTTACCTCAAATAACACCCTTTCTGTCACAGTTATAAATTAGATTGGGAAGAAGGGATTGACTTGCAAGATTTGTTTGAATATTTTCCATATCTAATTTTGTTTTGGATTATACACAGTCCATTTTTAACAGTGGAGAAGTTCTAAAACTCCTATTTGATGTCATATTCCTTATTATTGCCATTATTTGCATATCATAAAAGGCTGAAGCCATGTGTTTGTCCTATGTGTGCCATCATCTCTTATTTATATATTACCCCAAGTACTTTCACTGGTGGACTTAATCTGTCAAAGTACTGATGTTCACTAATATAGAAAAGTGTGGTTGGGGTCATGTCATGGTGAACGCATGTTACCTAAGATGTTTCTCTGTCTTTTTGTTGATTTTATAGGGCACGGATGATGTGATCCTGAACATGCCAGAGTGAAAAAAAAAGCTTTTCCTGCTTGTTTCATTACCAGCTAGAATTGTTACGCTCTTTCAGCCTCACTTCACAAGACATCTTCCCAGTAATCCACACGGCATCCCTGTCTGCAGTTCCTTCTGCACCTGAACCATGTGAGGGCCCCTCGGTCCAGTCTGAGGGGATCCCAGGACTGTTGCAAATACGACCCCGCTGTGCGGGGTGAGACTGATCCTGTCTGTGTCTGAGAAAGCAGTCTTTCCAGTAGCCCCCTCCCCATCCACACATTCCTGTTCTCCTTACTGAGGAGACACGCCATGATGTTCCGAGACCAGGTAGGTATCCTCACAGATTGGTTCAAGGGCTGGAATGAGTGTGAACAGACGGTGGCACTGTTGTCCCTCCTGAAGAGGGTGTCCCGCACCCAGGCTCGCTTCTTACACATCTGCCTTGAACACTGGCTGGCAGACTGCACAGAGATCCACATACTAGAAGCTGAGGCCAACAATGCAGGTAGCTGAGAGATTTTTTGAGTTTTATATTACATATTATCGATTGTCTATGACTATCAAACACTATTTGTGCTTTCTTTTCCTAACATTGAAGAAGGCCAATATTAATCTAGCAATAAAAGATTAATTGCTGGTGAAATTATCTTTTTGCCCTTTGTCATTAGCAATTGTCAGCCAGTGGCATCAGGAGCCAAAGGAGAAGGTTGTGTCCTTGCTGCTGTCCCATCTGCCTCTGCTGCAGCCACGCAACAGCGAGGCCAAATGTGAGTACATGAAGCTGCTTCAGAAGGTGTTGAGTCACACCATTGAGAGTAGCCTGTTTGTGGAAGAAAGCAGACAGCTGCTGTCCTACGCGCTCATCCACCCTGCCACCACACTGGATGACCGCACCTCTCTGGCCATGTGGCTAAACCACCTGGAGGAACACCTATCTAGTGGCTATGCACCCCGGGCCCCACCTAGCCCTTACCACCCGCGCCAGGGCTCAGATGAATGGCCAAGCTCTGCTGAGGCTCTGGAACCTGGCCACGCCTGGCACGACAAGTCCCCTTCATCCAGTACGTCTCCAGCAGGCCAGAACGGACACATGCCTTTCCCAGGCGGGATGTCATCTCCCATCAACAGCAATAACACAGGTAATGTTTGTCATTCTCCTAACTTTTCAAATTGGCTGAAAACACTGAGAGAAACAAGTTTGTTGGGGCATATGAGGCCATTGTAGACTATTGTCCAAACAGTGTGCATTTTGTTGAAAGTCTTGTCAACATTTCTTTCATAGTTATTAAGAGTAAGACGTTCTGTTGTTCCTCATATATTAATTGTTTCCCTTGCCAGGTATGGGTGGGCAGATGCAGCCCAGCCCTCTGAAGAAGTCCATGTCCGTTATTCCTTCCAGTCCCCAGGCTTGTGGCTCTGAGTGGGTTAGCCAGGATGATGCAGGGGGGCGGCAGAACTTCATTTCAACAGACCACGCACCCCTTTCACCCCAGAGCAGCGTAGCCTCCTCAGGCAGTGAGCAGACAGAAGAACAGGGCTCCAGTCGCAACACGTTCCAGGAGGATGGCAGTGGCATGAAAGGTCAGAGTTCATTACCTAAACTGAGCGCTCTTGGCATCTGGCTCTGGTAAAAGCCACGCACAGCCAACAGCTGTGGTGATATAAGCTGAAATCTAACGTAATTTTTTTTTTTTTTTGTCCATTGTGTTTATTTGCTCTAGATGTTCCTGCGTGGTTGAAGAGTCTCCGCCTTCATAAATATGCATCACTGTTCTCCCAGATGACCTATGAAGAGATGATGATTCTAACAGAGCAGCACCTGGAGTCACAGGTTTTTAAGCCTCCCTTTTACATACACTAGGGCTGGGCTTTGATTGTTCCACCCTCCTTATCAGTTGTGAACATTACTGTCCTCAAACCTGATGATACATCAACTCTCAATGAGGCATGAAATTAAGCAACGCACCCTACAGTTATATCGAACCAGTCACACATACAAATGGTGCAATTTCGCCTGTGCCCCTTGGCTTTAATGAAACAAATGGTGATTAGGTTTGTTATTTAGTAACTGTATAAATTGCCCAGTGTTCCCACAAGAAATGACTCGCCTGCTTCTCATACCATCTTGTTACTCTCTATCACTTCTTTTTAGAATGTCACTAAAGGAGCACGACATAAGATCGCCTTGAGTATCCAGAAACTGCGAGAGAGGCAGAGTGTGCTCAAGTCTTTAGAAAAGGTAATTCAAATGGGATGATGATGATGTTCTTCTGTAAGTGCTAAAAAGGGGGCAACAGTGTTTTGTCTTGATGAATTTTCACTTGTACTGATAAAAAATGCACTTGAGTACACACTTGTCAATGATCATGTGACCCCTTGATTTAGTTCCTTCAAAAATGTCCCATTCTGCTGATCGGCACAGAAACAGTCACAGAGCAGGGCTGGCAGGGCGCACCTCTGAATAGCTTGTAGAGCATGTGACGCTGATGTTGTCACCTCATGGCAGGATATTTTGGAAGGGGGAAATCTGCGTAACGCCCTCCAAGAGCTGCAACAGATCATCATCACACCCATCAAGGCCTACAGCCCACCTTGTGCAGCACATACAGCTCCGGATACAGCCACCTCCCCAGACACAGCCACCTCCCCTTCAGAAGCCACAAAAACAGGAGCAGACAAAGAGCCGGCCTCAGAGGGCTTCCAGTCCCACAACCCGCCTCCCTGTGACGCAGACTCCCCAGCCACACCTATCTCAGACGGCGACATTGCTGGACAGTTCACCCGTGTCATGGGTAAAGGTACGAATAAGGTGTTTCTCCACGATTGAAACTGATTACACGTAGATGGTAGACTACATATGATTTGTCCTTACAGGAAGTGCTCTTAAAACTTTGCTCACACATAAGACACAATCAACAGCATAAAAAAATAATCCATGTCACTATTCAAGATAAATCACATACTTCATGGAGATGAATAAGAAAATGAATATATAAACCCTGGCTTTGTGTTGTTGTTTCAGTGTGTACCCAGCTGCTAGTGTCAAGGCCAGATGAGGAGAATATCAGCTGTTACCTCCAGCTCATAGAGAAGTGTCTGACACATGAGGTGAGAACCTGAAAATTCAGTTTTTTCATTTGCTGAATACATTTAAGGCATTTGTCTGTCTGCATTTGTGCAATGTAGTAAATGCAGCTAATGATAGTAAGTAGTTAAAGCACAAGAAAACCCTCATAAATATTAAATGATGAAAATACCATATAAACAAATTGACATTATTTGTTAGTAATATAGACTCTTGTAATCATCTATAGTTTTTTTTTCTTGAAATGAATAAAGCTTTCCTTTTTAAACTGCTGAAGTGCCTTGAATGCTCTTTGAAATGCTGAAACCTTTTTTCTTCTGCTGTCTCTTTCTATGTGTCAGGCTTTCTCAGAAACTCACAAGAAAAGGCTGGTCTCCTGGAAGCAGCAGGTCCTCAAACTGCTCCGCCTGTTCCCTCGGAAAGCTATGCTGGACATGCCTGTGTACCGACAGAAAGGGTGCGAATCTGCTAGCCCTCTTTTACCTTTGATCTCCCCCTTTAGCGGGGGAGATGTCACACCAGCTGAATGTTACATTCTGCCTGCATTCATCCCTACTGTCTAACTTTTACTTTGATTCTTTCTCCCTTCCCTTTTCTCTTTTACTCTCTCTTCCTCATTCAAATAATAACTACCATTTCATGTGAAGTAGCTTCAGCAGTTGAACACTCAGTTCTCTTAACACTCATTGATTTCTGACGTTATGTGCCTTGTTTTTTTGTTTGTTTGTTTTTTTTACTCCAGCTGGACCTATGGGTCCAACTCCCTCCCCACAGCGGGCTCTGTGAGTGGAGTTGTAGCGCGGCGGGGCCAAAGGCAGTTCCAGATGACCCCTCGTGGACTCCCAGCCCGGCCCCTTGGTCTTCTCAGTCCCAGTGGGATTGGGGGAGCATCTCCACGTCACACACTCACTAGTCCTGCGCTGCCAGGCCAGGGTAGACAAGTCAGTATTCTTGTAATTGGATGAGCCTTCTAACACCTTTAAGCTGTTTAAGTTGTGGATAGACCATTATTTTTATTTGAGTTGAAGGAAAATTGTTTGTCCTAAAAGCTGACTACACAGCTCGAAGTTAATTGAACCCGACATATTTTTAACCTAAAGAATTAGTTATTTTTCAATATCTCCATTAACTATGTGTGAAGTTATTGACCTGCTTCATGACATGCCAAAGGAGCCATAATACACTTTAGTAACAGTTGTTCCAAAAGGAAAACAAGGTTAGTAACAGGAGACATTGGCAGTTTAATCAGTACACACAAGACAGTACAAGGCGTTAGGGCATCACATTTTGATACAAATGGATCATTATCATAGCTTGAAGACTGTCTGTTTAATGACTTAGCTGAAAGATAAATAATCCATGTCAACCTCCCAGGATGAGTGGCATTTATGTAATGAGAACTTGTGTTTTCCTCTACAGAACCTGTGGTTTGCCAACCCTGGGGGCAGTAACAGCATGCCAAGTCAGAGTCGCAGCTCTGTGCAGCGGACCCACTCACTCCCTGTCCACACTTCCCCACAAACCATGCTCATGTTCCAGCAGCAAGGTACTGCACAATGTCAAGCCTCTTTTATTCATCATTAACATGGGTGTATGCACTCACCCACAGTCCATCCCTGTCCTTGTTTTGGTTTTGACATACTGTATTTGTTTCAGTCTTGCCTCACTTAAAGGCCTAGTGTGTAACATTCAGGAGAATCTATTGGCAGAAAATGAATATATTATTCATAGGTATGTTTTCATTAGTGTTTAATTGCCTGAAAATAAGAATCGATATGTTTTCGTTACCTTAGAATGAGCCATTTTTATATACAGATTCTGTGGGTCATCCTCTCTGGAGGCAGCAATGTTGAACCACCGTGTTTTAACAGGAACTCGGAAGGGACAAACACCTTTGTGATACCACTAAATCCTACACACTCGTCCTTTAATCTCCTATTTACATTTTACCACACTAGTGTCACCTAAATGTTGCTTATGTAGAAGTCCTTTCATTTTTAAAGTAAAATTACTCATTTTCAAGCTGAACTGCTCAATGGAATATAGATTTGAAAGTCTGATTTGACTCTTAATGGGTTTTGGGAGCAACACAAGCTGCACAACTTTTGTTTAAAAAAAGGCCCTTTGGTCAGATGCCAACACAGAGAGCTGCTCTCCCTCTGTGCCAAGGACAAAGTAACAAGACAGCTTAGCGGCAGGTTGCAGTAAACAATATGTCACCTCGTACAATATACATAACCTTTTGATTGCCTTGTCTCGTGTGCCAGATGCCACACACGAGCATTGTAAATTCAACTGTAATGGCCCTGTCATTTTTCAACAGAGTCATCATAGGACGTTTCCATTATAGAGCCTTATGTGTCAAAGCCAAAAGTTCATAACTTCAATGGATGTATGAACCCAGCGATGCTACAGTTTCCATGTCTACAGCTAGGGGATATAGCTAGTAGCCACTTCATACTGTTAATTATATAGAAAACCAAAAAAAAAGATTCCACCATAACAGAAGACTGGGTATACAATATGTATTGTACTTTAAAATAAACAATTATATATATATATATTATTCCTAAATCATTGTAAATCAGGTGATGACAGTGTGTGGACAGTATTACTTATTCAGTTACTGCTATGCTGTACAAATCTTCCTTCTTAATGCAGTGACAGCTAACAGTGGGGGAAAGTGATGGCATATTCTAACAGGACTAACTGTGATAGGATGATTTTTTTTTTTATTACACCATGCCATCTAGGGTGTGGACAGACAGGACAGAGAGAGGAGCATGTGTCCTCACCCTGGAATTGAACTGGGGATGTTATGGAAATGTTTAATTTAAATAACCCCCACAAAAATAAGGAGTATTAATTATTTTCCTGCCTTTCTGACTTTTGCAGGCTCTAGTGCACCCACATGAATGGATTGTTAAAATAGATTCACAAAAATTTTCTTATATAGTTTAGGTTTACAGAACTGTGTCATATTTCCAGGTTTACTGTAACAGATCTTACTAAACCAAGGAACTGATCATACATACATGTAGAGAGAGTACATGCAAGTAGACAAAAAATAGGCAAGTTACTGGAAGGAGTTCACTTTGATTATCTCCAGTAACTTCCTTCTTCATTCTATTAAAAGATGTGTTCCTCAATAAAGAGACAAAACAAAAGTTTTCCGACAGAGTTGGATGAGAGTGTTTTCTCCTGGGTACAAATGATCCAATTTAAAGCTGTCTAGCTCAGTATAAACATCAGTCAAGGGTCAAACTTAAGACTCAAATGGCCATCGTTGGCCTGTGTATTGAGGTTTTTAACCAGCTTTGAGGCTCACTCACAAACTCTGTCCCTCCTCAGATCAGTATTATTATATATCGTCTGCATCCACTTGAGACAGATTGCTGTTTACACCTTACATCACAATACGTCTCAAGTGCGTCTTGAGTGACGGTCACATTGTAGTTTGTAAGCAATTGTAATGAGGCACAAAATACACTTTTTTCAATTTTAGCATTAGATCTGGTACCTCACCTCAATGTGGAGACAGGCTACATTCACATCAGATAGCATCATGTCACATAGTGCAAATTAATTTGCACTATTAGTGCAAATGGGTTGAGGTTGAACCCGTCTGGCATGTTTATTTTAAGGAAATGTGTGAACTGTGTTTTTGATGTGATGGTTTCGTACATAGTTTGGTTCTTCACAAATGTTCCTGTAAGCATAGGCATTTAATGTAAAGAAATGTGTTTTATTACAATTATTTTAAGAATCACATTTACACTTGAGTCATTCGCACTTAAGGGAATATTAGTTTCTTTTTGCGGGGCCTTGTTTTGTTTTGTAGTTTTGAGTGTGATTTTTACCAGTTATTATAACATTTTTGAAGCTGTACCAGTCTTGGTACACATCCTTAACAACAGATTACATTACGACAAGCACACAAGTTGTGCGTCTCTCTCTGTTTCTCTTTCTCTCACCCAACTAAACCCCGCCAGTTGAGGCAGATGGCTGACCACCTAGAGCCGGGGTTTCGCACAGTCTCTGCCTCTTAAAAGCAAGTTTTTCCTTGCCACTGTTGCAAAGTGTTTGCTCATGGTGGCAATAATTTTATAAGGAGTACGGTATAGACCTGTTCTATATGAAAAGTGTCCTGAGATAACTTCTGTTATGATTGGGCGCTATGCAAACAAAATTTTATTTAATTGAATTCACCAGATGAGGATGAAACTGTATCAAACAAATTCTACCTTCACACATTGTATTTAATTTGAAACAAATACAAAAATACCCTTAAGGACTATTGTCAGTTTAATAGGTCAGACTCTCATAGAGATTAACAACAGACAGTCTGGACAACAACTGAGCATCTACGAATTATTCCACTTCCAACTAATTGGTTCCAGTAAAATATTGTTGTACAAACCATTAGTCGTAGTTGAATTTGGTTGTGTGTTGTGATCGGCTAACAACAGAACTACTTAATGCATTTGGTATCAATCACCTGGTTCTTACATTATTATTTGGTCAAAGAATTATCTGAACATAACATTAAATCTGCACTAGGTAGCTTGTATAAAATAACATTCTATCATATTTGCTATCTACTGACTATCTTTCTCAGATGATCTCCACTGCAACTTAAACATAATGACAGCACACATAAACTGGGTATTCTTTTCTTACATAAAGCATACTTATGCCCTGATAATGGTAATTGTTCTTTTCCAAGTAAAATTGGTAAATTAATCCTCTTTGGGCATTATCTATTTAGAGAAAAATGCACAGTTGCTTTTGTACATTTAGAGTGAGATAAAAAAAAATCCTTTATGGCTATCCTGATGGTTATATAAACCCTTAATCTTCCTGTGGACTCTGTTTTTACTCATTCCCTCAGAATGCCAAGTTCCAGGTGCAGACCTGGAGATCAACCCCACGCTGGAGTCACTGTGCCTCAGTATGACAGAGCATGCCTTAGGGGGTAAGTGTCCTCAGCAGCCCTGTACTAAATAGGCCACTGGCTGGCAAACCTCACACACACTAACCAAACAACAATGCCTTATTTATACATCATAACCTTGTAATGAGAGTAAGTAACAGTTTGCGTACATCAGAGAAAGCAATACATACTAATTTGTTTACACACAACTTACTCTATGCAAACAAAGATGAAAAGGTCTGACTTTTATCATTCATTTTTCACAAGTTATATTTATGTATTAATATAATAACATCTAAATTATACAATACCATTAGTCAAGTCACAGTCAAGTTCCTCTTGCAGCGAGAGAAAGATGCAGACATGTGATCTGTTTGGTGGTATGGTGTACTTGAAGGACACAATTTGTAGACACAAGTAGTTCTGTATTATTTTACTGTGTACCAAGTACTCGGTGCCTGATGAACTAAGGTCTGTCTGCTGCATGAATTGTTGTGTGAGTTCGATGGAATTCAGGGAATTAAAACTATTTTCCTTCCTCGCTTTCTGGCAGACAGATCAGGTTACTGATGTCTTTCTGTGTCTGTGTTTACAGTGTCCTGTTCCCTTTTGTTTAAATGCACAGTCATGGCAGATTAACAAATGTGTATTTTGGAGAGTTAGTTATTCCAAAGTAATTGTGAGGATAATGTATATACTTTAATTCAGCAGTGACGTGTATTTTCCCAACGTGTGGAAAGAGATGCTGCTTACCTCGAAATATATGTAATAAATATAAGATATGCTAAGTTGAGTGTCTGATATACCATATAAAAGCATGAAAGGCATGCAATAAATATCAAAATTTATGGACACATTTTAAAAAGGCATCAATAGCTTTTTCTGCCGCTGGGAAAGGGTACAAAAGAAGTAGAACTCTCCAATGGTGAAATACCCCTAAAGCATGAAATGTGAATGGTGCAGTATATTCTATGATTGTAAATGTCTTGAAACGCATTTATTTCCAATCTCCTCCTCAGATGGAACAGACCGGACATCAACAATATGAAAAGAAGAAAGGAAAAATACACTTCAGTCGAGGCCTGTTAAGTTCCTCATCACCCAGCACAAAGATATACGTATGCTTAAGAAAACCAGGCAAAGCAGTCACTACAAAATGACAAAAAAACTGTGTATATGTTCTCTAATATTTTTGTACTTTATTATATACAACTAAGTTTATTAAAAATGGAATACAGATGATTATTATATTGCAGGACAGAGGAAAAAAAAAAAGCAAACTGCTCCATGTCACCTGCAGGACTGTGACATGATGTGCAGAGGCTCAGTTTGCCGTGGTCTGAGAGAAAAACGGTGGATTGGTGCTGTCTTAAAGGGGTTCTGCCCTATGAGTTACTCTTCTTTTCCTCCTGTCTTGGAGCAAGGCTTCCTTCCAGAACACACAGCCCTGACAGCCACAGCCCCTGCACCACATAATGTGTAGATTCTGAGAAGTCCCAGCCAGAAGTAAGGCACTTTTATTAAATGATCTCTGATATTAGCCACCAAACTGTAAGTGGCCCTAGGATATTTTCACCAAGGTTCCACTTGTAGACAAGTGGTGATATACAGATACCAATACAGACCCTAGCCACCCTAACTGTTCTGTAACCAGTGCTAGTGAGGGCTTGTGTTGGTTGAAACTTAGGTCACTTTCCTTGGTTCTTTTTATCTTGTCTAGAGAACATGTTTTTTCGTGGCAAAGGCAGGAAAGGGAGGAAAAAGGTTCGAGGAAAAGTTTGTAATTCAACTGTAGACACACCTTTTGTCTTGGTTGTTTACCCTAAACACATAATCAAAGTAGAAGTGACTCTCCTCCTCTAAACATCTACAAAGCCAAAGAGAAGGGTTGTGCGATTGTTAATTTGAGAAGGATATTTGTAGTGAAATGCAACAGAATGGTATAATTTTTTTTAAAAAAAGAACAGCAGTTCTAAGAATTTATGCCAGCTGCAATTTGTCTGTTATTTTATGCCCTACTACATAAATGATGATGAATCTCATTTTGTGCCGAGGAATCCCCAGAGGGGTGAATAAGGGCTGGTGGGGTTTGTACTTTGCAAAAGCTGATTTGATATTGAATTGATAAAAGCGAGGAGGGTAGAGTGTTTTCAATTTACACTCTAATGCTGGGTGAGAAAACTAAATGAAACCCATCTCAACCCTCTGGCCCCCTTATGATTGGCTCTGGAAAATGAATCTTGATCTTGTAATAAATGCTCCGGAGCGCAGCGCCTCACCCTCGCAGTGCCCTCTTCCTCAAACGGCCAATGTGATGATTTGATGAATCATACTTTTCAAGGTGCTTGACGATGTCCATATTTTCTGTTTGTGTCTCAATGTGTTTCAGTCTCAGAACCCTAACATTATCATGTGGTATCAGTGTTGAATCAAAAACTGTCTTATACAGCCTCTGTCTTTGAATGTGGCAGAGCGGAGGTGCATGTATGTGTAATATGGTCTTAACTTTTGGATCACTTTTGGTTGCAACATAAGGCAGGGATAACCATTCACATTTTATTTCAGCAGAGCCATAGGAGGTCTGTCTAGTAAAGATGGTTATTTACAAATATCTTTTCCAATTGTATTTTTTACTCTCCCTTGATATTGATAACTTATGCTTATTTTCTATAACCGCATGTTTTGCCACACTAATACAGCACTGTTGTAGATAGAGGACATGATGGTTGATGGTGCCCAGAGTCACCAACAGCTAGAGAGCAGAAATCTTGCAACTAATGTTGTATGTTTATATCGCCTAAATGTCACTGTTTACATTTCTCTGGGATAATGCCCAATTCATGTTATGTGATGTCATGAATACTCCATTGTCTCACTATGTAACACATTAAAGAACTGACGCCTTCTCACACAGAGCTGGCTGGGTAGAGCCTGAAAACAAAAGCCTTCTACCCCCCCCCTCCCACCCAAGTCCATGAACTCCTTATGAGTTTCAGTAGATTTTCCAAGTGATAACTGTATGAGGCATGTAACGCCTGCTTTTCTTGGTCATGCAGTGACGAGAGAGAGAGAATAGCTTTCCTGGCCTTGTGATTGAACTGTTAGCTGTCATGTCCTGATGAACTGTTCGTGTGGTGCCTGAAATGCACAGCTCCAGCATCCTCAATATGGTGATTTAATGGTCTTGAGTAGTATTCTAGTCATGGATTTCTTCAGAGCAGGCTCTTGGATAGATCTGACTTACTAAAAGCATCACACTCATGCCCGCAAAGGACTCCTGTGAGTTAACAATGCTGACAACTTTAAGACTCTGCTATCTTATTTTTAACTATTCACTATACTGTATATCAATTGTGTTATGTTACAAATGGCTCAGATTATCCTTTTCATAGCCTCTGTAGCTTTGGACAGCCTGCATATTACTGCAAATAGACACAGAGGTACAATGCAGCAGATTTCTGCAAGTGTCCGTGCATAGTGAAGAGGCAGCAGGGGATGACAATGCTTATCTGAGCCACAAATGATGTGATTATGAGTAAACTGAACACTAATAACAGGCCAAGGAATATGTTTACTCCATGTTTACATTCCAGTGATGCATGAAATGAGTTGGGAAATGCACTTAATAAGTTCAGCCTTGTGTATTTTCATATACCAAGCATCCACTAGGAGGTACAGAGCCTGTGTCATATGGAAACTTGTATACCAAGTGGTCCCAGGATCATGTCAATGTCCCTACCAGGCTTGATTATTAAATTAATGCAGCCAGCTGTAGGTTACATTGCGTATATTTGTCTTGTACAATTTATATTTAATTCCGATGACTCCCCCAGACATTTTCTAATATTTTATGAACCTTTTGCATCCCATGCTTACTCTACTTTTTTACTGTCAGTCGTGTGTGAATGGTCTGAAGTGCAGCATCCGTCGGATCATTGACAGTCCAAATAAAGAGGTTCAGTTCTTTTGCAACTTCACTTGTGGTTTGTGTTTATTTACTTTTTTTTTTTTTTTTTTTTTTTTTAACATTGGATACGCGTCTTAACAGCAAAAAAAGAGTCAGTCAAAAGCTATTTGCATTGCTCTCATTTGTCTTGTTAGAGACGTCCTTTCAGGTTCCGACGAGAAATTACACAAGTTACTTATTACTTCCGGGTTGAAACGGTTTCAGCAGTTGATTTTGTCGAGCTAATGTGAGCTAGCCGCCTTTTTGTTACCGTCATTAGTTTATCCGTCAAGAAACAGAAGCTATTTCGTCGGGAAACTTGATAACAACTGCTTAGGTATGTTCACATTTTGTGTTACGGTTGAGAAAAGCTATACATAAGTTGCCATAAATACAAATTAACCTGTCCTCCAACAGTAAAGAGTGCCCAAGTTAGCACACAGCTAGCCGTCCTTGCTAACTTAGCCTGCCGACCACAAACAGCTGCTTGCTAACGATTTTAGCTCGATGGCTAACGTTAATGTTATCTGTTGGTGTGTTTGGCTGATAAAAGGATGGTTGAGAGGTCGATTTTGCCTCAAAAATCTGACTGTCTGCAAGTATTTAACGCTAGCTCACGTCAGCTTAAATTGCAAGTGGGGAAAAAGTTAGGAAATAAATGTTTTAATCGACCATCCGCTGTCTCTCGATAATAGTTGAGGTGACTAAAGAGAGGACAGAGCCCCATCCTTGATCTCTTTCCAGACTCAACAACTATGTTTAAAATAAAGAAAACTTCATCTGATCAGCGCTGTTAGTTCGCTGTCAACTTATCTTTTGTTTTTTATTTTTTTAAAACCACAATTAAAACCTAAAACTGTGTCTCTAACGTTACTTAAATAAACATTAGAAGAGGCTTCATAGCTCATGTTATTTCCAGAGAAAGTGGATGCTCTAACTAGTTGCCAAGCACATCTTTTTCTGGTAAAAACGTTATTTCTGTTGTCTCCGTTGTGTGTTTTTGTCTCATAAAGAGTAAGATTAGACTCCAGTAATAACTCTCATACAGTCCATCACAACAATACAGCACGGACAGTTTTATTCTAGAGCTAGATCCTACAGAAGCAACAACAGCAGGATAAATCTGTGATAAGCTGTTTGTTAAGAGTTGGGACTGTACTGGCTGGGTTGAATTTAAAGTTTTTATAGACACTCAAAATAGCTTTCAGTACAGCCTTTCAGTACACACTCAACAACATCACAAACAGCCTCCAAAATGATTCGTTTGAAACCTCAAGAGCCGAAACAGTAAGTCAATTAGACATCAATCAGCAGAAAATGAGTGTGCAGCTGTTTTGATAGAAGATTGATTGTTTAATTCATTTGTTTTAAAGGAAAACATAGCTTTAGCCTTTCAAATCTTAATCTTTACTGGTTTTTATTATTCGTCTGTGATTTTTAAACTGGATATCTTTAGGTTTTTAATGTCAGTTTGGGCTTTGGGAATTTGTGATGGGCATTTTTTTTTATAATGATAACTGAAATGCAGATTAAAAGGATAATGAGAATAATTATCAGTTGCAGCGCTAAAGTCAGCACCTCTCTAAAACAGTGTAAAAAAGCTGAACATTATGGCCTTAATGAAAGCTTTTTTGAGCCGAGCCGTTGTGTTGCATTGCTTCAATTTCATATAAATGTGTCCAATAAACTAGCATATATCACTAGTAATATGACAATGTCTCAAAAAGGTAATTGCAGCATTTAAGTGGAGCTCATTTTGTTTTGCAGGTTGTTGTGACTGTGGCCGCAATGCTTGGACAATGATAATGACATCTCAGACAAGGGATGTGGATGGGATACTTTCTGCTAAAAGCTAACTGCAATAACAAGTTGTCCCTCAGCAACTCCCTGGTGTGGCGCAACTGTTGCTTTTTCACCATATAATCCATCATGTCATTACCAAAGGAGTCAGGGAACCGAGGGAAAGATCGAGAGAGGGGGGCCCGTCCCAAGGTGAGACAGAGCCGGTCAGAGGAGAGACGAGATGCAGGCAGTGGACGGAAAGGTGGAAAGGGGAAGAAAAGAGGCCTTGCCTCACATGAACCAGCAGCTGAGAGGCCTGTCAGTGATGGCTTTGAGTATGGTGAGCTGTTGAGTGACCTAGAGACCAAGGACCAATCTTCCTCCTCGCCTCTGAAGGAGAGTTGGAGATGGCAGGGTCTGGAGGCCGCTGCCTCATTATTAGGACAAGAACGGGTAACAGCCAGACCAGGACTGGGAACAGTTAGCTCAGCGACAGAGTTATCTGCACCCAGTGACGGAGAAGGCAGGGGGTCAAGCAGCAGTCGCACTTTCCGGCAAAAAATCCAAGATGCAGTGGGGCAGTGTTTCCCAATAAAGACACACACTGCGGCAGCACCAGCACCAACGCCACAGGCTCTTTCATCATCAACTGCCTGTGCCTCCTCAAGGCGCAAGATCCATCTCAGTGAGTTGATGTTGGATGACTGCCCTTTCCCTGTAGGATCAGAGCTGGCTCAGAAGTGGTATCTCATTAAGCAACACACGGCCCCCATTACCCAGCCTCCCGTGCTCGATTCTGCGGTAGTGTGCAGCGCCCCTACTTCAGCCATAGCTACTGTGGTGGAAGACGTGGATGACAGGTTGCGAGAGCGCAGGCGCATCAGCATCGAACAAGGTGTTGAGCCACCACCAAACGCAGAGATCCACACATTTGAGGTGACGGCCCAAATTAACCCTCTCTACAAACACGGCCCTAAACTGGCTCATGGTATGAATGAGTTAGCTGGGGCTGACAGAGCCTCCGTTCATCAGCAGCAGCAGCTTCTTCTCCAAAGACAGCAGCAGCACCAGCTCCTACTACAGAGGTGTTTGGACACTCTGGATGAGGTGGTGGCCTCAGCTTCAGCTTCAGCCTCAGCTTCAGCTTCAGCTTCAGCCTCAGCCTCGGTCCCAGTCCCAGTCCCAGTTCCAGTCCCAGTCCCAGTCCCAGTCCACACCTGTGATACTATTTCCGACTCTCTAGTTGACCCAGAGGTTGCAGCGACCAGTGTGCCCTCTAGAGCCGTACTTCCACAGACTGAGCATCACAAATCTCACGATGGCTACCGCATTCACACTCAGATTGATTACATTCACTGTTTAGTTCCAGACCTGCTGCAGATCACCAACCTCCCGTGTTACTGGGGGGTCATGGACCGCTACGAGGCAGAGACGCTGCTTGAGGGAAAGCCCGAAGGCACCTTCCTCCTGCGAGACTCTGCACAGGAAGACTACCTCTTCTCCGTTAGCTTCCGCCGTTACGGCCGCTCGCTACATGCACGCATTGAACAGTGGAACCACAATTTTAGCTTTGACGTGCACGACCCCAGTGTCTTCCACGCTCCCACTGTTACGGGATTGCTGGAGCACTACAAGGACCCCAATTCCTGCATGTTCTTCGAGCCCCTGCTGTCCAACCCCATCCACCGCACACAGCCGTTCACCCTGCAACACATCTGCAGAGCAGCCATAAGCAGCTGCACCACCTATGATGGCATTAACATGCTTCCCATTCCAACTGCTTTGAAAAAGCACCTGAAAGAATACCACTATAAGCAGAAAGTACGTGTACGGCGAATGGACACATGGTGGGAATGAAGAACAACACAAAATAATGGACTAAAAGAAACTACTAAATACATTTTTAATGCAATTCACCTGGAACTGAACTTAACTGAACTGAACAATGAGTCTTGTTCACTCTATCTGGCTGTATTAACCTACACTGCACTGTACTTTATTTATTTTATTCCTGCTGTACATGTCTTAACAATTGTACTAAACTAGACTAATAAGACAATATGTAATCTCACTGATCTTGTACACTCAAAGTTCTTTATGCTCAAATTAAACAAACTTATTTAGATCTGTGTTGTTCAGAGAACTACCCTCACACATCATCTGTGTTTACAAGTGTGACTAAATCAGCTTAATTATCTGACAGTAGGGGTAAGTGTCCTAGTGTGGATTGAGATGATTATAATGGAGTTGTTCATCAGTCACGTGCTGAGAAGGTGGAACACATACTGACAAGGTTTCCTTCTTGTTACAGAAGTGTAGAAGTGCAGCATGACTGCAGTATTAATCATTGTTTCTCGCATTGAGCCCAAGGCTGATTATAACGGGTGAGAGGTGGGGGCATGTGTTACCTGTTCTTATTAAAAACGAGACGGCTTGTTGTAGAATAGATATTTCTCACACGTTGAAGTCACAAGTACATGCTCGCATTCATGTTTTTAGTGTTGTGGTTTAATTGTAGGGAAAGATGCAGAGTTATGTTGCACAACCTGTAGTAAACAAATGTCTTATGCTCCGATTCTACACCACACACCTGCTTTGTTTTCAGCTTACATCATGCAACCACCCATGGTCTCTCCTATGAGATTAACATGCATGCAGCCAGGGGCCAACGGTCTTCATTAGTTTTGATAGCATCAGATGTGGCCTTCATGAAGCAGGAGGATTATCAGAATGCAAATGATAAACCCCAGACATTAATGGACCTTATTTTACTCAAAATCTGACTCTTGTGCTGTCCAGTTATGAATTTAGTCTTCATTGGTCCAGAGTTTGGTCTTTCTTTAAAGAAAAAAATAATCATTTTGCCGCTATACTTCCTGCTGTGCATATTTTAAAGAGGCGGGGTGTCTAATCTCCCTTTCCAGCAGTTCAATGACCAAATTACCATAGTGAATTAGCGCTGATGAATCTTAATTAACAAAAAGAATGATTTAAGAAGGAAAGTGTTTTGAGATTTTTCTGGAGCCTAACATTAAGTCAGTTACAGAAACACAAATCTGCAAGCTCCGAAAAGCTCTGTAAAGAAGAATCAGTCATAAGCAAAAAAAACCTGAAGGCACTGAGGAAAGGTACAGCTCAAAATACAGTATATGCACCTAAATCAAGGGGCCAATGCTTACATTTCGATAGTGAATCAACAAAATATAAAAAAATCTATTAAAAATATATGCATTTTATTTTAAATTAAAAGACCAAAATGTACACTTTCATACATTAATGCTTTTGACTTAAAAGTAAATCTCGTAAATGGCAGACAAGAAACATCTGCATGTTTGAATGTACAAATGAATGAATATGCAGCAAAACTCCCATAACAAAAAGAAAGTAAAAAGCATTTCATGCTAGACAGACTTTCATTTACCCGATTATCTTGAACTTATTCACAGATTAATTGCGGAATTTACCTATGCAGTGGAGTCATTTACTGCTGTGTGTGTGAACAGCATTTTGTATTAATGAAAACACACAAGAGAGACCACACTGCTAATTGTTGTATGCACTAAGTAATAATCACAAAAGACAACCGTCCCAGTGTTAATGGGAAAGCATGGAGAATGGATCCCAGATCATCCTCTGAACCACTGCGATGCTGTTTTCTCCTTGAGATGGGCGATTTGATATGCAGGATGCAAATCATCCATGACAAGCACTCATCCACTAATGAAGCTGCTATAATTTAAATAGTAATTCCAAGGCAGCATCAAAGTCTGCACTCAAAATGCAAAGTCAGGACCTTTGACCTTTTGTATACTTAATTAAGTCACTATAAAAACCAAACTATAAAATCAGATTCACTGTGTTGGAAGACATTTGACCCGTCATGCATACTACAAGTGTGTGCTGCACTATGAAGTCTCTACTCAAGGAATTTCTGCTACTTGACAGCTCAAGGCTTATGTCTTGTATTTCCCAGCACAATACAATGCTCTGTAATGTGGTATTCCCTGGTAGATAAGACCAAGTAATAATGTTTTTTTGGTGTCTGGACCACATCTTAAGTCTTTAAACACTTTAATTTACAGGTCCCATAGTTTCCCATAATTTCCCAAACAAGAGGTGATGTGTAGCTGTACTTTATAGGAAGGTGTAATTTGGTACTAATTATTGGTTGAACTGACACACTTCCAATCAACAATTTACATTTTAATTATAGTGTAACATAGAGAGCCTTAGAGCACAGTGGGCAAGTATACAACTCAAAATATGCATTATGTGTCCAATTATAAATTGATATTGAATGAAGAATATTTAGTTGTGTGTAAATAGAGCAGTTTCTTACAGGAATTCATATACAAAAAAACCCCCAGCTGCTTATTAACTCAACATAGCTACCTAAACTGTCAGATGTTTGTCTCTATTTTCCCTATACCTAGTACTAAATGGCATAGTTCTCTCCAGGAAAAGACATTATTAGAAAATGACAGACTTGTAAATTAAAGCGTTACCAATTCAATCTACAATTATATTGCTAATTATGCACATGTGAGCTATTTAGTTAGGTTAACAAAGCAGCACATACAGATTACTTTCATGTAATACAGTGTTTCCCTCCCAGTGCAAAATGCTGTATTACATCGAGCACAGCAGGTGGCTGTAAAGAGCTTCAGTGTGTTTTACACTGGCTGCTCTCAGGCCTGTGTGTTCTCTGTGTGTGGTGTGTTGAGATGGTGGGATTGAGTGTGGCTGCTGCAGCTGGCAGCACTGTAGCACTCATCATGCAGGTATTACAGGTCCTGGGGGGAAAAAAGAGGACTTTTCTTTGCCTGGATCATCGAGCCCGGAGGGACAGCATGCTCAAGCAAAGGAGAAAGCTGATTGGCTACACATACTTAGTCTGTTTGTGCCTGTTTGGACCTCTTTTTTTCCCTCTTTTCCTTCCATTGAGGGATGAGATTTTCCTCTGAGCCTAATCTCTACAGTTGAGCACCATGGGGGTGGAGAATAAGCTTGGAATGTTTATAACACCTGGGGGCAATTACTTTCCCAAGTAATCTGCCGGTCATAATCTAACAAGGGCCTCGAGTTGGCACAGACTTGGCTTATTTAAGACTGAAAAGGTGCACAGCGACTGAGTCTTTTTGTAGGTCTAGGCTTTGGCCTGCTGTATGTAGACCCATATAGATTGTGAACTCAACTACCATGAGATGCAGTATGTATCTAGGCCATTAATTCAGGGGAGGGCGTATCAAACTGGTTTCAAATTCTTGGAAGATGCATACAGCTATGCATGATTCTTCTCATCCAGCCAGAGAGAAGGAATACATTTCTGTGACAGAGGAAACACTACACAGAGAGAGAGAGAGAGAGAGAGAGAGAGAGAGAGAGAGATAGATTTATTTTTGGTCAGTAAATGAATCCAGCTGCATTTCAACCTTGAACATGAAAAAGAACATTCTTGCCTATTTCGAGTCACACCTTTTCAAACAGGGCATTTCTTGTCAAAACCAAGTAAGTAATTCCTGACTTATTAAAGTTTCAGTTCTTAAAAGTCTCACAATTCCCCCCCTAGGAGGTACATTGTCACTCAGTGACACGCTTACGTTTGATGTTTGTTTCCCTGGAAGCAATCCTTTGACAACACAATATTTCCTTTCCCTTCTATTTAAAATCCAAACGCACTCCCGTTCTCTCCGGCATGTAGGAACTCATATGAGGCCTTTGCCACAGAAAAACATCAGTATTCTAATTTGGGCCTGTTTGTGTTCTTCCAGTGCAATCTCCTGCTGCCTCTGTTTTTCACTACGCTACACACTACGCTGACAGGTTGTTGATGGAATAATGGGGGTGTTGGTTATGCTACAACTAAGCCAATGGACACAACGCAGATTGATGGGACTGCGGTGTATATGACACACAACAAGCCTTATCCTCGGCTTTAGCCCATGAAGTCATTAACCAACGGCCTGGAATAATGCAGGGATATACTGCGGACAGATGATGATGTCTGGTTGCATGTGAAGCTTTTTGCGAATTAGCATATCACACATCCTGTAATTTGACGACAAAATGTAGTTGTAATGTGTATCGTAATGTGTTTGTTCAAACGGACTGTAACGGAGCCATAGATAACAGATATAATTATAGATAACTGTTGTTTGTTTTGAGAAGAACTGTTAATTATAATAAGCCTTCACAATGACTGCTAGAAAGACCCATGCATCATTGATAAAAGGTAGGAAAAACAATGTATAATTGCATAAATGATAAATTCAATTGCATAACTCTGCTCTCTGTGACTAATTATGCTGTTGCACAACAGTTGCATTGGACACTGTGTTAGAATGAAAAGGAACAAATGAGAAAGGTGTAGACCTTGCCAGCTAGTTATTGTAAGAGTCATTTCTCACAATGGGCACCTTTTGGACCCAGTGATATTTTCAGGCATTCATTTTCCATCCTTTTAACATATTGTTACAGAGTGCACACATTAATTTGCAGGGAAACATGCAACACCTAAATTATCAGGACTCTAAGCAAATTACACAAACCATAGCTTATATCTACACTTTTACCACCATGCACGCAGCTGTCTTGCAAAATAATTGCCCTTACTCTACCATGGTATGCTATAAAACAATATTTGTTTGGTAACATGCCCTTTTCCTGTATCAAAGTGCCTTTTTGGTGACCTTGTTGAGATGTGTTTTCATGAGTCTCATTATTGTAATAATACATACATATTACATTACTAATCTGTCTTTATTTTCCCACCCCATTTATCCAATGGTCACATCACATCGGTTGAGACTGTATGGTTGCCACGCTAACCAAATATATCACAGTAACAGGGTTAATGGAACAGCAACATTTAAATGTAGGCTACATAAATCTATTAATGCTCATTATTTTCTGTGCAAAATTATTACTGAATACAATTTTTTTATTTATTTTTTTATTTTAGCTAACCTTAGGCCTTTTCTTTTCAGCAGACAACTTGACTTGAAGCTCATAATAACACTGATGAGGACTCAATGACAATGGACAGCAGAATAGTGAGCCAACGGACACAATACTCTGAACACACTGAAACCAAAGCAGCTAAAAGGAATTCAGCGATCATTACAT